TGAATGTGAGATGTTCCTGATAGGCTCAATGCTTGGTCCCCAGATGATGCCACTATTTGTGAAGGTTGTGAAATATTTAGGAGATGAGGTCTCTTTGGATGAAGTGGGTCACTGGGGGTGGGTTGTGAGGTTTGATGGCCTCAGTTCCCTTTCTGTTCAGTCTCTGCTTCCTGTCTACAGAGGCAATGTTACCAGTTGCTTCTTGCATGGTAGCTGGATCCCCTTGAACAGTAGGAATAAACCCTTCCTCCTCGTTAAGTTACTTCTTGTCAGATGTTTTGTCATAACCATCACAAAAGTAGCTAATATACTGAGGAGATGCCTATGGCTGCGAGATTGTAGCCCCAGGATATGTGGAGCTACAGGACTATATGACACCTTGTCTTACACTTCTCTCGTCTCTGCAGATGAGAGTCTTCCTCTCCACTCAAACTGGGGCAGTTTTCCCTCCGTAGTGGAAAACGCAGCTTCTGTCTGATCCCAGATTTTACATGTGGAGTTTTCAGCCACCAGAAAGGAGAGTAACTTTTCTTTCCTAATTCCAGCTCCTAATGTCTCTATGATACCAGGTACACAGACATCCTGAACACACCAGTTACAGACAGAGAAGCCAGACTAGGTCAGCCCACCATGGTAGGTGTATCAGCTATAGCCAGGGAAGCCAGACTGGGTTAGCCCAACACAGTGTATTAGCTACAGCCAGGCAGTCTGGACTGAATCAGTCCAACATGATAGGTACATCAGCTACAGCCAAGGAGGCTAGACTGGGTCAACCCAAGATGGTACATCAGCTATAACTGTGAATGGGTAGAGGAACTTTCAGCCAAGACCTGTTGGGGAGGGGATATCTTGGTAAAATACAGAGCTGACCAACACCTGCCATAGAAGGGACAGCTTCACCCTTTTCCTCAACCCCCACTAAGTGCTTAGGTAGAAGCAGTTTCTCATAAACAGATAAGTTCTATTGCAGTTACATGAATGTCACCAGTTAGAAAGGAGAGCACTGAAATCATCTTGTTTACATGGAATTCATATAACAAGAAACCCATATAACCTCATGCTTTAGAAGGTTATAGGAAATAAACAGCAACAGACAATGACCAAGGTGCAGCCTGGCCTTGCAGTCCCTGGCATTCTCTTTGCTTTTCGGGGAGTTATTCTAAGCAGTTACAGATGGACTCAATTACTGTAACAAAGATTTCGGCTGAGCAATGCACTAGGCTCAAACAAAAAAAAAGACCTACATTTGGAATTTTCAAACGACTACATTTTGTATGATATATACTACTCAAAAGCAGAAAAGTAAATTTGAAAAATAAGTATGATCATTGTATCCCAAAGGACATTTATGCATTTCCGAAGTTTTTGGCATGTTACCAGGAAATCTTAGCAAACACAAGGACAGTTCTTGCTTGACTAAAGTTAACTGAAAACTTTTAGATTCTGATGGATTAATAAATACTGCTTTTATGAGCAGATTCAACCTCATAATGGAAGTGTTAGAGATAAATGGAGTCTTTCCCCAAGTACCTCCTAACATACTCTATAATTTTTATTATGTCTTTTTTTGTTATCCACCTCCTCTGCTAGAAGATAATTTCACTAAGGAAGGGACTTCTGGTTGGCTGCATTCAGAAATCTCAGTGCCTGGCATGGAGAAGGTGGCCTATGAATTGTCTGAATGACCAACTGGTTGAAGTTAGGCATGGTATAATTTTCTCATGACCTCAAGATTCCAGGTAAGTGTGATTGGAGCAGTACCTTGAAGGTTAGTTACATGTGGGTACTGTAGCTGAGTTAGTACTCCAGGACTGAGTGTCCAGTCAGTGTCCAGGATAAATGAAATGACTAAAGCAGCCACTGTGCATATGATCACATCTCTCAGTGAAGACATTCTCAGGACTCTGCCTCAAAGCTCATTTTGATAGACAGCAACTCTTTGTGGCAGGGTGCCTTGCTTTTTAAATTAGAACTATTTATTCTTATTTATTTATTTGTGTGTATGTGTTTGCACATGGATAGGTGCACAAGTGTGAGAATGCTCTAAGAGGTCAGAAGGTGTTGGACTCACAGGAGCTGAACTTACAAGTTGTTTGAACCCCCTGATGTGGATGCTATGAATCAAACTGGGGCCCTGCATAAGAGCAGCAAGTTCCCATGGCCACTGTCAACCTTACTCCCTACTTCAAATTTTCCTGTATCTAGTTGCTATCATTTTTCTTGTTATGTATGTATCTTTATCAGTCAGCCTAAGTCTTTTTAAAAATGTGATTCCTACTTGTGAGTGCACAAAGAGGAAGACACCATAGCCATTCAGAACCTTGTTTTGACTACATACCTTCCCTTCTTGAGTAATATAGAGTTCAGGGAGGGGTTGTGTTATTTATAGCAAATCCAAAAGCAAATATTCTCTTCTCTAGAAGAATTACAAAGGAAGGAAGAGGCTCCTACACACAGAGTTTGGACAAAGTGCAATCTCAATCTGAACAAGGTACATGAAAAACTATGCAATCAAGACTTTCTACAGTGTATAACTACATCCACTGAGCAAACATTTGATCTGAAAAAGTATATTCGAAAAGAGGGAACTGTAATGGCTAAGTTTGATTGTCACTTGACTGGATTAAGAAATGCCTGGAGATGCCTGGGAAGGCATCCTGCCACAAAGAGTTGCTGTCTATCAAAATGAGCTTTGACACAGAGTCCTGAGAATGTCTTCACTGAGAGATGTGGTCATATGCACAGTGGCTGCTTTAGTCATTTTCATTTATCCTGGACACTGACTGGACACTCAGTCCTGGAGTACTAACCCAGCCACAGCACCCACATGTAACTAACCTTCAAGGTACTGCAAATGTTTCATGAGAGATTTGGCTGAGAAAGGACTCACTCTGAAGGTGGAGGCACTGCTGTCTGTGATGGGGTCCCATGCTAAGTCACCTGAGGAGCAGCACTCACTTCTGGATACTTCCTGATCTACTGAGATGTGAGCAGGCAGCCTTGCGCTCCTGAGGCCACAGCTTCAAGCTTCCTGCTGCTGTGCCCTCCCTGGCCCAATGTCCTCTCAAACAATGAGTCCAAATGAGTCCTCCCTTTAGGAACCAATGTAGGAATAGCTGGTGCCAAAACCAACCAAACGAACAAAACTGTGCATAAGAGGTATTTTCTTCACTCACTGCTGACCTGTTTTCATGCAGAGAGCAGTCTCCCACTCTAAAAAAGAAACAGGTCAGCAGTGAGTGACCATTCTCTAAAACTGGGAGGTGCTGTGTGTTGCCTCTGCCTGTGGTATTTAACATATGGCTACTAAACTGGCTTAGAGAGAAGTTCTGCATTCCTTAGTCCCAAGGTGAGATTTTTTTCTTTCAGCCATTTCTCATCTTCGAAAGCCTGCACCTATAGTTTAGTCACTGAAACTTGTAGCTCAGTGTTGACACCGCCTTCCTGTGCTTTCTCTGATTCAAGGCACGGGCCACGCCTTCCACACTACATTTATATTACACTACACTACATTTACATTAGAAGGATTGAGAGAGGGCAATTCATGATTCCGGAGAGGAAGTGATCTCTTCAGCAGCCATCACAGTCATCTGGGACTTTTAGTACAAATATAATCCTTTGCATTTTGTTAACTTTTACTGGTGCAACTGTCATACTTTGCATAAAAATATAGGCAGTCTTCAGATGCAGACTTGTTTCCCCACACATTTCAAGGAGAATTAGAGAGAAGAGGCTAATATTTAGTTTATTCAATAACAAAGCCACATTCCTTGACTTCTTCAAAAGGATGTCTGAAAATCAAGGAGCTCCTATAAACAACAGTCATCTCAAGGTGACCCCCTCCCTTGAGCAAGGTGCCTTGGATGCAGTTTGGGCAAGTCATCTGATATGCACCATTCACCTCATCGTGTGGGGGTGGTGGTGAAATTCTGGTGCTTAAAGTCAGAGTCAACCTAAATGGTGAAACTTACCTGTGATCCCAGAAGGCACAACTATCCCCAGAGACACTGATTCCCCCAAATGGCTACTGGTTCTTTCTATTTGGGTAGTTGAATATGAAAAGTAAGATCATAGAGGCTGAGGTCTTACTGGTGATGAGGGCAGAAGCCAGTGTCTGGACCATGGTAGGAAGTGCTCTACCTCTGAGCTACATCTCCAGCCCAAAGTAGTATGGGAAGACAGAGCCCTCTTCCCTTGGGACTGACTGACCTGTTGACTGAGGAGGCCTGGCTTGTAAAGCAGTGGTCTGGTAAAGCCAGGGGTAGGGCATTCTCTAACTTCCTGGTTCAATTTTGAGTGTTAAACTGTAATCGCTTATCTCTGATGAGTATGGGGCACACCATTCTAGGGTACAGGAGAAAGGAGGCTTGTGAGGTAGCAGTCTGGAAACGTTGGAGCCAACATAGGCTCCCTAAAAAGCATTCACATGCTGGTAGGGCTACTTCAAAGACATCGTCCACTCCTTCAAATGTTGACAAGGGGCCACTTTCCAGCACTGATCTTAAAACCTCCTGGGGCAGCAAGTGTGGGAAGTGGAGAGTGGGGGCAACAGAAAGATATCCGAAATCTCTATAGGCTCCGTACAATTTTTCAAACCCCTGGCTTCTCTTGGAGAAGTGGAGAATACATTGGGAAAACCTCCCAGGAGTAAAAGATCAAATTTAGGGCTCTTTATCAGCAAGTTCCCCAGGTGAGAAGCCTGTAGGCTTCCACTCCCAGAGAACTGTGAGTGTTAGGAGTGCTCAACCTGGTATAACACCTGGAAGAACTGTGCATGTGTCTACAGAGGCCTGTACCACTGCAGGGATGCAGGGATGCTAAAGGAACCAGAGGCAGAGATCTTTCTACCATTGCTCTTGCTTGGAAGAGTATGGTCTAGGATGGACAAGAACATCGCGTTCTTCTTTGCCCTAACTCATGACTCTGTAACATCTACCTAACTTTCTGGCACAACAGACCTGCAGACAAACAGACAGACAGATGTCAGACGACCTCTGTACCTGCAAAAGGATCTTGTTGCCATCGTGGTCCTCAGTCTGCCAGCGCCCTTCACTGATGGGACTGCAGGGGTTGGGAAGGAGGGGCACCAGCTGCCCGATGTCCTTCACTCGGAACTCCAGCACTGAGGAGTCGGTGGGTACCGGGGTCTGGTCACAGGGCAGTCTTTTCAGGGAGAACTGGATGTCCACATCCAGGTTGGAGAAGATGGGGAAGATGCAGAAGTCCGCTTTCTGCTGGCTGGGGCTCCGGCGTAGGATCAGCTCATAGAAGCGGAGGCTGTCCGCATAGCTGTCGTGGCGACAGTAGATGGTAAAGCGCACGATCTCCTTGCCATAGTGCACCGGCCTGATGGCCCACAGGGGGGTTCCAGGAGCCAGAGTGAAGAAGTCCTGGCTGCAGGGCAGGTAGGGTAGCAAGCGGCCGTGCACGCGTTCTGTGTGGTGGTGGCGCCAGGGTGGCCGTTGCAGCACCCGGTGCACTTGCAGGATCTGCTCTTCTCCATACTCCTCCTGCAGGAACAGCACAACAGCCAGTGACGGCTGCGCACCCTTGGGGGACTTCCGTCTTCTCCTGCCTGTGCGCCGCTCAGAGACTCGGAACAGTGGGAGGTCAGGGTGAACCCATGCCAAAACCTTGTCGATGGCCTCCTGTAGTGGCTGAGATGCCCCTGGGTCTGCGATGATGTGGATGCTCACCAGGAAAGGGTCCTGTGCCTCCTCCACAGAAAGCTCACCTGGGAGCACACAGTAATGAATGAATGAATGGATGGATGGATAGGTGGATAGATGGATGGATAGGTGGACCAATGACGGAGTGGATAGATGGATGGGTGGGTGGATGGATGGGTGGGTGGATCAATGACTGAGTGGATAGATGGATGGGTGGGTGTATGGATAAATGGGTACATGAGTGGATGGATGGATGGATGGATGGATGAGTAGATGGATTATGTGGATAAGTGAGTGGATCAATGGCTGAGTGTATGAAATTATACTTATTCCATTATGAGAAACAGTAATGATCTGTATTGCCTTAACCGGAAGAGAAGCCAAATTCCAACTGAATGGAATCCATGACCTCAGGTTTTGTGATCTCAAGTTCTAGAGGGGAAAAGGGGGCTATTGCTTTGTGTTTGACAGTGTTAGCAAAACCTTGGTTCTGTCAAACAGGTTACATAGTTTCTTCTAGCTAGGAGAAGTCAAGTCTTTTGACTCAGAAAGCTTTTGTGGGCTCATGAGCCCCTTTACCCATGTGCCTGTTATCATAGGGCGTTGATAGTGCTGGATCAGAAGTTGCCTGAACTCCTCATGCAAATGTTATCCATCTTGAGAAGAGCTGAGTTCATTGTTACCCTTCTCCTATTCAGTCCCACATTTTTATGAGCAGCTAATATCTGCTAGGGAGTCAATAGGGGGACAAGGAGGACTCTAGGAAGACTCTGAACAAACAACACTCCCTTAGAGTTATGTGGTCTACAACCTGTGTCACCTCAGCTGTGGCTTTTTAAACAACCATCCCACGACTGAGAAGTCAATGATTTAGGTGGGAAATGCAGATATAAAAATGTAAATTCAATGTGATACGTGTTTCTTATATTTTTGGTTGTGAGCCTAGCCTTTAACGGCTGAGCCATCTCTCCAGTCCATGATACGTGTTTCTAATGAATGAAATAGAATAGCGCCTTGGGATGGGGATCAAGAAGTTAGGGCTATCTATGGAGAATACAACCACTGGAATCTTCTGAACCCATTTTTAAGGTTTCTTTACATTTGTGTGGGAGGTGAAGTCTAAAGGACTCTCTACCATATGGGTCCCAGGAATCAAACTCAGCTTGTTAGGCTTGGCCACATCACCTTTACCCACTTAGCCAACTCTTGCCTCCCCTCCTCAAACTTCTAATAAAGAACAGATGGCATGGACCTTCAGCAAGACCATATAACTACATAATGCATATGTTTCTTTGGTTAGATGTCAGATGAAAGAGCCAACTTGCTTCTGGGCTATGTATAACAGGATTGCCTCATTTCTGTAGATACCAGACCCCTACTTGGAGCACCAAGCTTTACTCTCAACAAGACTTCAATAGAAGATGCTACAGATTGGCAGACAGTTGTGGATTTCCTAAAATGACCACAATACCTTACCCACAAGAGCCTCCTAAAGCACCTGCAATCTTTGTCTTGCTTATTTCTTTGGTATGTTTTGTTTATCTCTTTAGTGGATTCAAGGGTGTTGTCCTATGTGTTTGCACTGAGTAGAGCAGGAGCACCCAGTCTGGAATGGGGCGCTCCCTCTAGTCTACAGCTGAGGCATTGAGCACAAGGTTCACTCTCACCAAAGGAACCTGGGACTGTGCTGTTGCAGATACAGGAAGGAACATCCAGAGATGCATACAATACCCTGGGGATGTGGTAAGGAGCCAGGTAAAGTGGTGAGTCAGGTCTGCTCAGGTAAAGCTAATTTGCTTCACCAAGAATTTCACAAATCTTGAATGGGTCAATCATCCTTCCTGTGCCCCATATGCTCATATGTTCTGAGTTGGTGGAACTGTTTGGGAAGGATTAGGAGGTGTGGTCTTGGGAGGAGGTGTATCACTGGGGGTGGGTTTGAGGTTTCAAAAGCTTAAGAACATTTCCAGTTTGTTCTCTCTGTCTCTGTCTCTCTGTCTCTCTCCCCCATCCCTTTTCCTTGTGCTCCAGTGGCATGCCTGCCTGCTGACTGCTATGCTCCTAGCTATGATGATCATGATGATGAAAAAACCTCTAGAGTGGTAAGCCCCAAAACTAAATGCTTGCTTTTATAAGCTGCCTTAGTTATGGCGTTTTGCTATAGCAACAGGAAAGTAGGAAAGACAACCTCCAACTGCAAAGCTGAGTGTTTAAGCCAGCAATACTTTGCCCTGGGGTGAGGCAGTTTGTTGGCCATAGTGTTGTGCACCCAGTTTAGAAACCACACCTGAGAAAGAGGCTTGGCCTTCAAAGTGTACTGTGTGCCCTAACCTAAGTGTGATGGATTCTAGGTGAATGTGCTATGTGTGCCTTTACCTATATGCGATTGACCTTAGGTGAATCCAGACATCTTCAAGTGTGAGAGGGTAGGGTGCAGTAGGCAGATTTATCTGGAATCCCGACCTGTCCTCACAGTGTCACCAGGTGGGAGGCACAGAGGAAGCAGTGGGCCGTGATGTCCAGGCAGCACAGTGGGCTTTTAGCAGCTGCGATCCCAACCAGCCTCAGGATGCCAGGATGTTCTCTAGGAGAAAATACTCCTCTAAGCCTGGGAGGAGAACGGGGCAGGGTCACCCTAGCTGAGCCCAGGCTAGACCAGACAAAGACAGATGGCAAGAGGGATCTGGCTCAGTCAGGGTTAGAATGTTGTCCCAAGACACCTGGGAAATAACGAATGAGTGAGGGGACAGGAGACCATTCTTACGTAGTCGTACTGAAGATGCAGGCGGAAGGGGGGTGGTAAAAGAAGGGGTGCAATGTCACAGGCTACTTTGGAGGCACAGGGGGTAGCCTTGGAGGCCACAGCCACGGGGCAGTACACATAAAGTAGAGAGTAGAGCGCTCTGGTGTTTCTATGATGTGTTGTTTAACGGAGAGGCCAACAGAAGAGAAGGGCAGGTGATGACCAAGAGCCCTGCCAGGCCACCTGGCCTGGCATGGTAGTTACATCCAGGAGGCTGTCCCTTGCTTATGGGACCTTGATGCTGCTGAAGTGGTGGCCAAATCTAAGGGCGGACCTGCCGCTTTCAGATAGTGCCTTGCACTTTTGTGGTTATCTGATGCGTGCGCTTCCATCCAAATCTGAGTTATGAAAATCTGTCATGACAGCTCAGAGAGCAGTCAGAGGGTTACTCTGGCCAGTTTTGGGCTCACTCTTCCTGCCCACCTGGCTTCCTTCATTTCATTACACATTGAAACCATCACCAGCAGCACTGCAGATGAAGCGAAGGAAGTAAAGATGGAGCTGGTCCCTTTCCCCCAGCTGCAGTTCTTCAAAGGAAGGCTCCAGCTACTAAATGTAACTTCCTCTCCCAGGCTGCCTCGAACTCCTAACTCCAGAGAAGTATGACTTTGCCAAACACCAGTCAAATTCAACACAAATGGGAATGGACAGAACGCTTTTGAACAACACAATGATGAAGACGTTTGGTCAAGGAATTATAGACGGTTTCTGTCAGGGAAACAAGAGTAGGAAGAGCAGAAGTAATGCTGGGAAAAGAAGCTGTCTGAGAAGTGAGATGGCCCCTTTAAGATCCCCGGAGTGAACAGAAGTTCTTTTGTAAAGGCTGAGTATGCTGAGCTCATTACCTCCATTTTACAGAGCAGAAAATCAAGCCACAGAAGCCAGTTACCCACCAAGAGCTGCAGAGGCATAGGCAGAACTCTCTCCAGCACAGAGGCCGGTGGGCCCCGTATGCCTCCTATCTGCTGCACCTGCTTGCCAGCAGATGCTCGGTGGCTGCCACCCTACCCTCCCAGTCTGGCTATGCTCCACCACCTCTCCCCACTCCCTCTCTGCAGCCCCTTCCCAGCTACCAGCTTTGTGTCTCAGATATTCATTTGCATTTCCTGCCTCTGACCATGGGTCTCCTTCAGAGGACAAGCTTTAACAGAAGCTACACCCCCCCTTGGCTCCTGCCTTTACAGCAATGGCCTGGAGGATGACACAGGTCAGAGCCATAGGTGGTACCCAGGAAATAAAAACCCAACAAAGGTTTCAAGGAAGCCCACAGGTGGGCAGGAGAAGCTGGGCAGGAAGAAGCCAGGGGAGTAGGGACTAGATTTCCCAAAGACTCTAGAATTGTCAGGGCCCTCGGCCTTCTGCCACCACATAAAGGTTTCCCAGAGAGCAGGCACAAAAGCTGAAGCCTGCATGGATGGCTGTGTGTTTACAGCTCTGCAAAGGGCAGGCTGCCCAGCCTGGCAGAGTGAGCTTGGCTGAAAAACATTGCACTCCACCCCTGAGTGCTGGTAACCAGGAAGCAGCCGAGGTCAAGCAGGTGGAAGACAAGGCCAGAGCTTGAATTTGAATTGCACTTGTACTGCATGAACCTGGAGCCAGGAGAGGCTGAAGTCCTACCCCAGCCCAGCTCTGAAGAACAGGCAGTGACATACGTATGCTTGCTGGTGCTCACTGTGCATGACCCTGAGACAGCTCTAAACTGTCATCGGGCACTAGGGTTACACGCGCATCTCTGTGACACCGAGCAGGAAACCAAGTATTTGAGGGGAGGAGAGAAAATGTGAATAATTAATTGTCATGAAAAGCCTCTAGACCTCCCTGGAGAGGCAGAGATGCTGTGCAGGGATGCACTCTGCACCTATCGCATCTATTACCTGTCTTTGCCAAGGACCCCAGAGAGCACCTGCCCTGTCAGGGTGAAACACAGCAAAAGCAACACCACAAGGACTGTCGAATGTCGCCTGAGAGGCTGGGAGCTGCCACAAGGACAGGGCTGGCTTCCAGTTAGCCCAAGTATCCAGGGAGGAGGGGGGGCTCCCCCTGTGGCTTCAGGAACAGAGTGCAGTGGTTCTAGTGTCAGGGAAAGCAGGCCAGGCCTTCTCGAGAAAGGACGTGCAGCCCGTCCAGGCTTTCTACACTCCCCCAACTTGCTTCTGTCATGCAGACCCCCAGTTCTTTTTGGCTACCAAAACTCAAGAGAAACAAAGGAGACAACAGCAAACACTTAAGTGCTTCTTATCTGTCCTAAAACCTCATTTGTGA